AACAACCCTATGAGGTAGGTACTGTTATCACGTTCATTGAATATATGTGAATATTTAAATCAGAGAAAGATTCAATGATTTTTCTCAAGGCCACATAGTTGTTGTGTGCTGGATATTTCAGAGCCTTCAAACGACTCCTTAGAGGAGGAAACTGATTCCTAGGGTGGTGGTTTAGTCGCTAAGTCATGTCTGACTCTTGCGACCCCATGGACTGTAGCCTGCCAGGCTCCTCTGTCCTTGGGATTCTCCAGGCAAGAATGCTGGAATGGGTTGCCATTTCCTTCTCCAGGGGATCTTCACAACCCAGGGACTGAACCCGGGTCTCCTGCATTGCAGGCAGATGCTTTACAGAGTTACGAGGGATGCCAAGGGAGATGAAGTCATTTGTCCCAAGAACTCATATTTAGTGAGTTGTAATTCAAGCCCCGGCTCTGTCTGGTACCAAAACCATGCTCTTAATCACTACACTGTCATGAATGGAAGCTATGAAAATAGAGACTATGTGTACATTTTTCTAGATCCAGCTCTGTAAGGCAACATGTTCCCTGAACTTAATAGTAAAAATTGCCCTTATTCCGGGGAGCTGATAGCGAGAGCATGTACTTCCTTGGTAATGCACCACACAGTATGATGCAGCCAGGGCATTTGCCAAAAGCCTCATGGTGAAAGAAGAGACTGAGAAAGGCAGAGCAACTCAGGTGGGGCAGCAATAGCTGAGTTCTCAAGTGACTTTCAAGTGACTCTCAAGTGAGTTTTCAGGTGACTTTATGATAGGAGCTGTACTTTTTTTCTTCCGTGAAGAGAATGTTCTGTGAGCAAGAAAGCCTCTGGTTCAGATGGCCTTCCTTCTCCTGGCCTAAGATTTGATAACAAGCTGTTCTGATGCCACCAGTCCAAGTTTGTAGATTGCAAACTCTATCCTAGATGTACATCTATCCTAGATGTATAATGAAGTGAGTATGAGGCTGGGAAGAAGAGGCTAATTGCTATCCCTTCAAGGATGACTGGCTCTCCAGTAGAAACAGCATATTGAATAGGGAGAGGCAGATGGTTGTACTGCCAGAATCCTTGCTCCTATACTCGCTAATCACTGACAGAGTTTTCATTTCATGCTTGGTTTTTGAAACATAGCTTAATACTAGTCTTCTTATTTGGCATGTTAGTAATGTTTAATCAGATCATTATCATTCTTTCTTCAGTAATGCCATTTACCAGGTTTTGATGTCTTCTGTACTTAGGTTCTGTTATACCAAAGGACCAGTTTGAGTATGTGTGTGTGCATGCACGTGTGTGTGTGTAAACTTTATCTGATTTTATAAGTTCCCTTCCAAGTGTATTTTTCTGTAATCAATAGGTTAATGGAAAGCAAATCGATAGTATGTGGTGTATAATAGACCACATGAGAAGTCATGCTTTCATTCAACATATACATACTGAGTCTTCCTATGTACCAGAGTCTGTGTGGGTTAAATAGTTGTATAACATGTCCTCACAGAGCTTATTCTACATCTCTTCCATTGAGCAAGGGATAATACTATCTGGGTTCCAAATCCCTTGGTGGTTTCTATGTTTGCCTGATTATTCATCAGCAAAGCAACCTACAAAGATCTTTAATCCCAACATAGTGAATTTGAATTTAAGATTTTGACAGCCCAAAATGACAAGATATTAGTAATAATTACAACATTAATAATAGTGAACTGAGAATGGAGAGGCAAGTGGGGACACATATAAAGATTCCCAGGAGGCAATATGTTCTGGTTAAAGTTGGGATATTTGCATGGCTCAGTGAAAAGGGAAAATAATGTTAAGAGTCAACATTTCATCTAGAAGTGTGTCAATTCTTTGGTGACAGGTGGGGTAAAGGCTTATGATTAAAAAGTGAAAGGAATACATTTTATTCACTACCTTTCTTCCTGAGCTTCCCAGGTGGCTCAGTGGTAAAAAAAAAAAAAAATCTTCCTGCCACGCAGGAGATGCAAATTCAATCCCTGGGACAGGAAGATCCCCCTGGAGAAGGAAATGGCAACCCACTTCAATATTCTTTTCTGAGAAATCCCAGGGACAGAGGAGCGTGGCAGGCTACAGTCTATGGGGTCGCAAAAAGTTGGACACTACTTAGCAACTGAAAAAACAACAACCTTTCTTCCACATAGAAAATTTTAAAAATATATATGACTGTGAAATTTGGAATAGCAAGAGATCCTGCTTGCTAGTGGTCGAGGGGAAAGAGGAAAACAGACCACTGGCTTTTCAAAGAGCAGACCAAACTGAAGAAAATAGGAAGGTGCTGACAGCCTTAATAACAACAGGAAAAATAAAGCCTTTTTCTGGAAAAATATATGTATAAAATATTTAACTGACATTAAATATTAACAATGAATTAATGAAAACACAAAACACTTTATTTATGTAGGCAGTTTGTTCCCCTTTATAAAATATGCTGTTTTAAAACTAAAAATTATTTCATACATGATCCAGGCAGAAACTAGTGTGGATCTCTAGCAGTGAGTGGTAAGAATGAGGGTAGATAGAAGTGACCTCCAAATGAGTCTCATTATTGTCTCCTGCCAATTCACTGTATGAAGGGTCAAAGTTCAAGAATTCTACGACTGAATGGATTACTAGGTGTCAGACCCAGTGAGACCCAGCACCCCCCTCGCCCCCATATTTGTGTGGGAAGGGTGAGGAAAATGAAAGCCATTTGCACCTGATTCTGACACCCTGTGTCTCCTTTCTCCACTTGCCAGCTCTGATGGGGAGGGACAGTACCTTCCACCTGGCATTGCCTCTGAGCAGCTTTGTGAACTCCTTTGGGCTATTATGTTGGTTGGTACTTTGGCTTCTTTGGCTCCCAGCACCAGCTGATGCCCTGAGCTGAGTCCCAGTTGGGCAGGCTCTATTGCTCAGTGCTGTAGCTGTCTCCAGGGCATTGTTCTTGAGACTTCCAACAGGGCAGATTTGTGCAGTTGGCCCATCTGGACAAGATCTATAACAAGTAGAGCTCTGTGCAATAGGCTCATCTCCATAGTCCACCCCCCCCACTACCCCCGCCTTCGGGCTGCAGTAGCCTGACACCCCAGCCTGACCGTGGAGAGTATCAAAGAGATACTCTCTGCTCCTTTCAAAGGGGTATTGCTTGTGGCCGCTCATTGATTGGCACTACCTGGGCAGAAATGGGAAAACAGGAATTCTCTGCTCCCTCAATTTAATCTCCTTTCTTAAGCCAGTCCTTTAGTTTGGAATCGCCTTGGCCACCATAATTAATATTTTCAATAAGATTAATTTCTGGTCCAGCTACCCTGGTCAGCCCAGAATGCTCGCCACAAAGCCAAGAGACAAGAGGAATATCTCCACAAGGAGCAAAGGGCAGACAAGCTCAATAGGGAAAAGGGGGAAAGAAAGCTGAGCTCTTGGTTTGTCTGTAGGATCTGCTTTGGGCATTGGATTTATTGACTTTCAATTTTGAACACCTGTTTTTGAGGAAGGGCAAAAAGGAGGGAGCGAAGGGGAGGGAGGAAGATATGAGGCAGGGGAGAGACACAGAGAGAGAGACTAAACTTACATAGTTAATTATTCTAGACCCAGAAAAATAAGACAAGATGTTTAAGAGATTGTTTGATCACTTCTGTCTTCCAGCTGTTTAGCCCTGCACTTTAATCTTCCCTTTTACAGTTCTTCCCAGTTGGATCATTTCAAAGGACTCAGAATACCAGGCCCATGCTTCCCCACGTCCCAGTGTCAGGCCTGACACACTCTCTCTATTCTGATATTTTTTGGTAGCTTCAACTGACTGCTCCACCTCCTCACTGTGGAAAGAGAAGGGAAATGAGAAGGATTAAGAAGTATGTCCAAATTATGGTTCTCTAACATCGACAACTCCATCCTGAACTTGGCCAAGTCAATGTTTGTCCAGTATAGGGATCCTCTATATACCTAGTTCCTTCCTAGGAGCCTCTTAGGCCACTTTATCCTGGGCAAGGTTGCATGGCATTATTATTTGCTCACTAAAAGGAGGTGAAGGAGCAAGTTGGAAATGAGAGGTCCTGGGAAATAAAGAGACTTTAGAGAAAAGAAGAAACAAAAGTGCAGGCAACAGAAGACTCTCTGAGGATAGTTTCTGTATTCTAATCCTCCTAGGCCCTACCACCTTAGGCTCACTTTTCTTGAAAGCTTTATAGCATCAAGTAACTTTCTTAAAGACTAAGCATCTTTCTTTTTTTACACTCCACAGCAGTCAAACACACCCTGCCATGATGTCAGCTAGTTAGGGAATACAACAAATATTTCTGAGATCAGGAAATTTGGGTTGATCTGGAAAGGTGATCTTTCTGAGAGTCTAAGATTCCTGGCCCCATTTTAACAGTGTTGAGGTTCCAAGGAAACTTGAAGACTTCTCTGTTGGGTTGTATAGCAACGCCTTACCCCAGTGTAGCTGATGACTGTTCAATCTCACTGAGTAGTGGGGAATCTGTCCCCTTGTCTTCCTCCCAGGGTCAAGGAAATCTGACTAAGTCACACAGGGCAGCACTTGTGGATGGGAAAGATTCCTGTTTGACCCATGGTAGGAGGGACAGAGGGCATGGTAAAGGTCAGACTCTGGGTAGGAGGTGGCAGGGCAAAGATTGGTGCAGGTTAAGATGATAAATGCCAGAATTTAGTAGCAGTGTTCTGAATATCCTCTACCAGAGAACTGAAAAACAGAGAAGCTCCAGTCAGGGTTATCCTGGCCACAAGAACATAGCCAAACCTTACTTTCATGAGAAATGGAATAGTATGGAGAAAATCTGGATGAAGATAGGTGAAGATAGGCTGTACTTTCTAAGTACAGCCACCATTGGCACCATGCATTGTAGCTCCACATAGCTTTGGGATTGGCTGTTGAAGTTCTGAGTGCAAGATCAGGAAAGAGCTGTCCAAGCCCTTGATGGAATCTACTGGAGAGGGAAAGCCCACAAGGAGAAAGCAGGAAGCCAACAACTGGACTCTTAAGCTCCTATTCACAGTGCCTGGTGGATATCTTCTGACCGTAGCACTTTATAGACAACCCAGTAGAAGATGTTGAAGATGAGGAAAGTGAAAGGGAAGACAGCTCGGGAAATGGTGTCAATCCTCTTGGCCTGGTCCACGTAGAGTTTTCGCATGGTTTCTCCTTCCCTTAGAAGTGGGGCTGGAGGTTGGGGGCTATAAATGCCAGAACCTTCCATTGGACCTCCATCCCTTGCCTGCAGGCAGTGGCCCAGGCCATAGCCACGGAAATAAAAGCGACTTTCATGGATGATATCTTCCTCCTGGAATTACATGGAAGAAATGGCAGAATTTGAGGTCACAGTTCTAAAGTAGAAGAATAGAGACCACACCACACAAGTATCTCAGGCGATGCTATGCAGACAGGGTAGGTGGGTACACAGGCTCATTGCATGCTTTTTTATGGTCACAAAACTGTTCATGAGATAGATGTATGCTAAGCAGCTATACGTGGTATGTATGGTATATGTTCATGATTCCATTTGCAGATAAGCCTTGAGCTGCCTTTGTAAAATGCATAACATCATTTAGAGCCATCTAAAACCCAGGAAAGTGCCAACTTACTGTGAGAGGCACATCTCAATGTCAAGTTATCTCTGACTGGTAATAAACAGAATAAACAGAACAATGAAACCTTTAGAAACCACAGCTGAGATAGTTAGACTTGGAAACTTGACTTTAATGACTTCCAAAACCTGCAGAATTATTTCTCCTTGTACAAAGTATTTTAAAAAAATGTTTATCTCTGAAAATTCCAAAAGTTTTAAATAACCTAGTGGGTTATCCGAATTAGGGTAAAGCTGATTATGCTCTTGCAGATGTGTGTGCTTCTAGGGTAACATTTATTACCCAATACACATTCCATTCATGTGCAGTACATGAATTCTGATGAACACATTAACACTGAAGAGGTAAATTTTATCTAAGCATTAAGTAATGTAGCAGACTATACAAAGTTCATTTGTCCAATAAAAATGACAACTGACAACCTTAAGTAGCTACAACAGAGCTGGGAGTCAGGAGGTAAGGCCAGAAAGATAGGTGGATAGAGACCTAGAGAGAGATGGAGAGGGAGAAAGAGAGGAAAAAGAGAGAGAACCAAAGCCCCCAAATGGTCAATAGAACTTTACTCATATAAGAGTCTTTCAGGGCCAAACTCAAAGCCTATTTATAGTTGGTTTCTATACAACCCCAACCTGCCCCATTTTGTCTCCTAAAGGACACACTGCCATCACAAGTGGTGGTTCACAACCTAGAAATTAGACATAGGACAGGTAAGTATACACCACAACCTAGGAATACTTCATTCAAAGATGATTATAATTTTTTAAAGTATCAATGTTTATAGCAGTAAAAGCTTCAGCTATGTAAGAAATAACCTCTTGTGGGATGGTACCAACTATCTTCTCAGTTTGCCCAGAACTGAGGTCTTCCTGATACTTAAGACTTTCAGTACTAAACAGAATAAGGCACATGTATATATTGAATGGATGTGACAGATATACATAAAATGTAGATAAAGTAGATTTTACACATGCTATGCAGTTAGAAGGACATCATAGGGTCTTTATCACGGGACCTCTATAATTATAGTAACCCATTTAAAAGTGGCTTTGTCAGTGAGATGTTGGTGTGGTTGGTCCCATTAATCCTTGATTATGACAGCACTAGAAGGCCTAGCCTGTCACTGGGTATCAGAGGTGGACAAGCTCAGGTCAGAGATTTGTTAACAGATCCTATCTCTTTCTCTACCTGCTGTAGGCTCATACGTGGGAAAGGACATCAGTCTGGCTCTCCGCTGTGTCCCCAGCGCCTAGCACTCCGCTGTGTCCCCAGCGCCTAGCACAGTGCTGGCATCTGATAGGCACCCAGTAGACATTAGCTGAATGAATGAATGGACTGATGAGCCACATGTGGAATACAGGACAGGGAATGGTTTTGTTCTCATGAAGCCAGCATCCTCTCAGGATCTCAAACTGAAGAGTCTACTCAGAAAAGAATCTTAGCTACAGAGTGCCTGGCAGAAAAAATAACTGTTTCTTGCCCCACCCCTGCACAATGGCTTGAGGCCCCTTAGAAAGAATGGCATTGTTGGCATAGGGAAAGGTCTCTCTAAGTCTGCCCACCAGAGAGCCTTGCTACCCAATCCTTGATTTTGCCAGCCTCTGTGAAGAGAGTTGTACATGTGTGCATGCATGTTAGGTCAGTCCCATCATTCCTGACTCTTTGCAATCCTATGGACTGTAGCCCACCAGGCTCCTCTGTCCCTGGGATTCTATAGGTAAGAATACTGGAGTGGGTAGCCATTCCCTTCTCCAGGGGATCTTCTCTACCCAGGGCTTGAACCTGCGTCTCCTGTGACTACTGCATAGCAGGTAGATTCTTTACCCCTGAGCCATCAGAGAAGCCCTGTACCTGTGTAGGCCAGAGGCAATTCACCCTTGTGGTGGTGCTTTGACCCTGAGTTGTGATAGGGAGACCTCAGCTCTGCTGTATAAGTTCTTTACACAACCTGTCACCATAGGCCTTGGCTCACCTCACCTGTATTCTGTAGTTCATTTTCACACTGTTTCTTCATGACAAGTTGTGCTGGATCCATTTTACAGATTGAGAACAAGAGGTAAACAAAATAACTCCCAAGTAAGTGAAAAATGTCCCTTGAACTGCAAGGAGATCAAACCAGTCAATCCTAAAGGAAATCAGTCCAGAATATTCATTGGAAGGACTGATGCTGAAGCTGAAATTCCAATACTTTGGCCACCTGATGCAACGAACTGACTCCTTGGAAAAGACCCTGATGCTGGGAAAGATTGTCAGGAGGAGAGGGAGACAACAGAGGATGAGATGGTTGGATGGCATCACTGACTCGATGGACATGAGTTTGAGTAAGCTCCAGGAGTTGGTGATGGACAGGGAAGCCTGGTGTGCTGCAGTCCATGGGATCGCAAAGAGTCAGACATGACTGAACAACTGAACTGAAGTGAAAAATGAGGGAGTAAATAAAAAGAAGTTTTCTTTTGCTTTCTAGTTCAGAGTCCCTCAGACTCCCTGTTCCCCACTGCTCATCCTAATCTCTGTAGGTATCCAGCTAGAGGATACAAGCATGGAATATATTTGTTTGCAAAAAGCTCTGAAAGAGAAAGTTAAATCCAACTTTTGCTATTTCTGTTTCTATATATCTAATTATTTTCCCTTTTCTCCAATCACAGTAAACCTAAACAGAATTATTTGGAACTATATTTCAAGCTGGAAAAAGCTGTTTCCCACAGGAGAGGAAAAAAATGACCAATAGTATGTCATCCTGGGCTCTTAAAAATTTTTTTTTAACATATTGTACCACTTGTAGTTGGGGTAGCAAAGATGAGTGGATTAAAATTCAAGGGTGAGGGTCCTGAATTTTGGTACTGCTTATTTAGGCCAAATTCAGACAGGTGTGTGTGTGTGTGTTGGGGAGGGATAATGGAGAGCTAAACTCCACTTTGTGGCTTTCATGCTTCCCAGGTGGTTCTAGTGGTAAAGAATCTGCCTCCCAGGGCAGGAGACACAAGAGACATGGTTGGATTCCTGGGTCAGAAAGATCCCCCTGGATAAGGAAATGGCAACCCACTCCAGTATTCTTGCCTGGGAAATCCCACGGACAGAAGAGCCTGGCAGGCTACAGTCTACAGAGTTGCAAAGAGTTGGACATGACTGAGCACACTAAGCATACTTGTGGCTTCCATGGCTGTTGAAATGGAGCATTTTTTGTGGCAGATATCTATAGGGGATGAGGGCTGGGGAACTAGAGAGGAAAGATATTCCAAAATCAAGTGGGGATGGGAATGCACAGTGTGGGAGATGAGGTGTGAAGATGGGAAGGATGGATTGATATTGAGTGATGTATACTGAAGTGAAGAGAGGAGATTGGAGAATGGGGAAGGGTCCTGGGAGATGGAAAGAGGCAAGCAGGGTTTTTGGACCAAGTTAGGAACTTCCTGAGAGGATTGGGCAGTATTTTAAATTTCTTCCATTTCTCAAGCTATTCTGTTGATAATGGTAAGGCTTTTTCCTCTGTCCATCTTGAAAGAGAGCCCTTGCCGATAAGTCTGCAAAGATTGGCGGATTGGTTTCTGTGGCTGCTGTGTCCAGAACCTAGTGCCAGGGCCTGATGAGGTTATAAAAAATGAGAAACAGACCCTTCTGTGTGAGGCTTCTAGACTAGCTAGGAAGACAAAGCAGAAATGTCTAGGCAAAAAAATAAGCTATCTTAGACTGTGACATGGAAGGAGACCACTACAAAGTGCAAATGGATGGTTGAGATTTGGGATTTGAGAAGAACAGGATGAAGTCTGGAGCTTGGTGAACAGCTGACTGACTTCTAGAATACTCCTAACTTGCTCTTGGCTAAGGGATCCTTGAAAATCATATGGAATCTCTCTCTCCCTTAAGAGGGCTCCTCTCAGACTGAAAATCGCTTCTCTAGCTGGAATAGCAGGGTCCAGAGAGAGGTTGTAAAAATGGATCAACCCTGTATCAACTTTTTCAGCCCGCTCAGTGACCTCCAGGATTCAGCTACATTACTTCTGGGATAGCAATGACTGTAGGAAACTCAAAAAGGGACAGAATTAATGATACAGTTAATGGTTTTCAGGTTTTATCTACATTAATCAAAAGCCTGGCCACTTTGAGGCAGGATCCAGGTGCCTAAGCAGGGCCCAGGCTGCTGTTATAACTATGTAATAATTGAGCACTGATTATGACAGGATTCATTATGAGGTCAGGATCACCTGGTATATGACCAGGAGGGGATAGGCTGTGGGGAGTTGGAGGTTGGAGAGGTGCAGGGAAGGAGGTGGGACAAGTGTCACCCTGGAGTAGCTCTACAGCAACCACAGCAGTCTTCTGTTACCAGGACACCTGTAGAGGCAATTTAACTGGGAAAAGAAGTCTGGAACGGGTTGGCAGACTGTTCTTTTCTAAGGTAAGCATGGAGAAGGCACCAAGATTAAAACCCTTATAAAGATAAGACTTGGGTACCTGTGGGCAGGTTTGACACAGCTAAAGAGGTGGGAGCAGTTAACTTACAAAAGGGTGCACCTACTTTTCTTGCCCTTCTGCCAAGTCCATATGTTCTTCCCCTGAGCCTCTGCCTAGGATAGGAAAGGCTTTTAGGACTCTTGATAGGTCCTACTCAAGGAGGTGCAGTTGTGGATCACTCCACTAGAGGGCGTGTTTCCCAGACCGCAACTCAAGGACTGAAGCAGGGGAAAAAACGGATGAATTCTGACCAACCACTAGATGAGACAGGAACCCTGCCCTCAGCAGAAAGGGACCTTAGCAAGGAACATGAAATCCCGGAGGTAGCTTTTGAGATATTTTTAGTGCAGACATATGGTAAGGGTACTCCAGGAGCAGCTGAAATGGGAGGTGGTGCTGTTAGGAAGAGAGAAGAACCTTAGTGTTAGAGTGGCCCCAACAAGCTAGAGCCAGTTTGCTTAGATAGATCATTGTTTTCTTTCCCCATCCAGAGATCGTATGTGCTTTAGTGCCTCCAGATTAGGCAGTAAACAGGGAGTTGGAGCTCAGTATAGGCCAGAACTTTGTGTGTCTGATGATTAAGTGCCCCTTATGTAGCTCAGCAAAGACTTTTAGTTTTTTTCACAATTGGGCACTTCCTTCTGTGACAGTGGCCCAGGCACTTCTGTTGTTATGACAGTGTACCTAGCACCTATCGTCTGGGCAATGGGGCGGCGGGGGGGGCAGGGGGGGAGGGGAGGTTGCACTGCCTCTGTTGTCATGAGGACAAGATCCCTACTTTGCTTCCCCAGGTGATCACAAACAAGAATGAGGGAAAATAACAACTCATGCCTAAAAAATCTGATGCACCCAATGGAGACCAAGGCGAAGAAATGAAAGAGCCAGAAGATGCAAGTGGTAGTGTTTCAATTCCAGCTTAGTTATGGGGATCCTTTTATAATGCTCCTCTAGAAAGGCACCAATGCCTGACTTGAATTCTTAACCACCAATCAGTATACGACAACCTGGGGTACCTTCCTTCTGGGTGGGAGGAGAGTCAGGAGCAACCACTACTAATTCTCAAAGCAATCTCGTGGTAAGTCAGTCGATAAGGTTCTAATATTGGCTAATATATTTGCAGTGCTTACTATGCAGGGGAATCTTCCCATGCTGTTAATTTACTCTGTTAGACTGCCCTACAGGAATGAATGTCCCATTGGACAGATAAAGAAATGGAATCAAAAAGGTTAAAGTACTTAGCTTATTTGTGACCAGCCTGGGACTAGAATCTAGGGTTCCTGACTGCCTGTCTAGTCCTTGCAGTCTAGATTGAGTCTTGATTTGTGGGAGAAGTAGTAGAAAGGAAGGAGTCCAAAGGAGAAAGGAAGTGGGCTCCTCCCTAGTTATGCTCACCATGCGGTGGCGCCTCTGCCTTCTTCGAAGTCGAATGAATTCCTTATGCTGACGAGAGACAAAATTGACAGCAGCATACTCCAGCAGGGCAGCGAACACAAAGAGCAGGCACACGGCCATCCAGATGTCGATTGCCTTCACATAGGACACCTGCAACATCCATCAATGGAAGAGTCAACCTTCCTCAAGTTCTTTCACGGCCTCTGCAGTGGATTAACAGCCTGCATCAACTGCCTGCTATTCTGCAGCTTTATCCTGAATTTCTTCTCATGTTTAAAGAAGCTTTTCTTGATATGTCCCATTATCTGAAGGACTATGTCAAAAAGATCAGACTTGACCGATCTGCTTCACCCCTCTGCCCTCTTCACTCTCTACTTCCATCTACTTTTCCTCCCTATACTTCTTTTCCTTCCTTTCTTTCTCCTTTTTGAACTTCTGCTTCTGCTTCGTATTATCCTTTTCATTCTTATCCTCTTCTGATTCTTTTCTTTGAATAAAAAGCAATGAATATGAATGCTGGATTTCTTTGCCTTCTGTTCTCTCCTAGGGTAACACAGCTGTGGTGGTAATTGGGCAGGGTGTGTTATTCCCAAGTGAGACATATGAGGACATTCGAGGCCTAGAATGGAAAAGTCAGCCAAGATTACCCAGTGAGAAGATGGCACTAGGGCTTAGGGATTCTGGGCATCAATTCAGCAATGCTGCGAATTACCTAGGTTGCAGTCTCAATACCAGACTATGAGTTCCCTCCTTTCCTTCCTCCATGTCTATTCTTCCTTTGACCCTATGATTTTTCCCTGCCATTCTTTGCAAGAGATTCTGGTGAGGATTTGAAATGAGTGGAGAGCAGGGGCCTCATCTCTCACAATGAAGAGCAGGACAGGGTAGGGATCCCAATGGGGTGCACCATCCACCCCCTGCTATGGATGTTTCTGTCATTTCAAGAATGCTGGCTTCTGATATCCAGTCCCTAGTGGTCTCCTCTACTACCTGCTTTGGTAGCTTTCAGGTACCATTAGCCCTCTGTATCCATGGGTTCTGCATTTGAGGATACAGAGGAAACATAAGAGACTTGAGCATCTGCTGATTTGGGTATCTGTAAGGAATCCTGGAAGCAATCCCCCAGGGGCACTTGAGAGATAACTGTACTTTTCTCTCCCATTTCCTTTGTGAAGATTAAATGCTCACTTCTTTTGAAACAGGATTGTGGCTGGGTGGGGCCAGAGGGGAGGGCAGAATTCAGGTTTATGAAGTCCTTCCACTTCCTCAATCAGATCACCTCCTTACAAAGTTTTGAGTGGCTAAGCTCACCTTATGGGGTTCCCCAGCAGAAGTAGGATTTATAATAGGCAACTTCTTTCACTAGCCTCTGCTATGTTGGACACTGAGGATGCTGCACACTCCTGGTAAGGAGCAGGTCTCACAAGAGAAACCTTCCACTTCAGCAGCTCTTAATCAGGGCTGACCCCCACACCCATTTCCCCACCCCTCCCCCCACCAGGGGCATTTCAAAATGTCTGGAGACATTTTTGGTCACACAATTTTAGGGTGGTGCTGGCAACTGGCTTCTAGAGGCCAGGGATGCTGCTAATATCCTACAGTGCACAGGACACCACCCCTCCCCCTGCCAACCCACACAACAAAGAAAAATGATCTCACCCAAAATGATTATAGTGCTAAGATGGAGAAACTCTGCTCTATTTCTTTTAGGGTAATTCTATTGAGATGATAGTGGTGGGTTGCTAGGCAACCCTGATTAAGCATCCCTTGGTGTTTCCACTTTGCTACCTACAAAGAGGGCCTCCTATTTCATTTACCTTCTCCCAGTCCCACTGTGCCCCCAGGGATGTTAAGAAAGTGCTAGGAAAAACCACAATGAGGTAATGACAGGGGAGGTCCACGAAGGGCTTTGGACCATCGAAAGAAAAAGGACACCTTAAGAAGCAGGAAGAAAGTCTTGTTAACAATAAGCGTCAACAATGCACTTTAAATATCTCTGGAAATCATCCACTTACTATCCTGGCTCATCTGAAGGATTGCAACAGCTTCCTAAACAATCTCCCGGCATCTCTGCTGGCCATTTCCAATCTGTTCTTCAAACAACAGCCATAATTTTGTTTTCAAAATGTAAGTTTGATCATATCATTCCTCTGCTTACAACCCTTCAGTGGTTCTCCACTATCCTTCTGATACAGGCAGTGCTCCCCTCGGCATGACACCTAGCCCCTGCCTACTTCTTTCAGCTATACCTTGTCCCTTGCAATCTATGACCCTGCTATGCTGATCAATTTCAGTTGTCTCCCAAGGGGATCATCTCTTTGTGTGTATCTCTCCTTCACCTTAATGATCTTTACTTAAATGTCTACTTTAGATACCATATCCTCTGAGAAGTCTTCCCTAATCATCCCAGTCTGGGTTGACTGCCCCTACTGGATGTGCCCAGGTTACCTACACCTGAGCATCCATCAAATATACCTGGCTCTTTCCTTCACTAGATTGTAAGCTCTTCAGTGGCAAGGACTATTTCTATCATGTTTGCTCCAGTGCCTAGCTAAGAGCCTGGCACATAGTATCTTTTGAATTAATGAATAGGTGGGTGGTGTATTTGTCTCTGCTGGTTCTGTTTGCCCTCGTAGCCTTCTTTGTTACTACCTGCCCCAAGAGCTGTGGGCCATTTAGATGACAGGATTTTGAAAGAATTGGGTCCCTCCTCCCTGCTGCAACTTTAGGTCTAATCTGTCAGTCTCTAGCAGAAACTTCCATTTAACCCTCCATTATACACTGAACCAACTGGAAGTTGTATAGATCAAGAACCTGGCAAAGAAACAATGATGGGTGCCCTTAGGAGCCCTAGCCCTCATAAAGGCAGAGAAAGAGCAACTTCCAGTAGCATGGGAAGTGGCCGTCCCAGTTGAGTTCCCTTACAAAGTGAGCCTCGGCTGCTCTCATCCTGGACACTAGAGTAGTATTGGGGGTGAGATTGCTGTTGGCTTTCAAAAGCCCCTGATCTGGCCTCACATTTTTCCTTGGGGCTCCCATGAAATCTAATGTTGCACAAACTCAAGAGTGAGCAGAAGCTCTCTGACTTAGTCCCTTGCTCTATGGGGCTGGCCAATGAAACTTTTTAGTTCAGGGTCTATGCCTGCATATTTTGCTATTGGCCAATGAGGCCAAGAAAAGGTCATCAACATAGAGAAAAGACCTATGGTTGCCAAAAGGGAGGTGGTGGGGTAGGGAAGGACTGGGAGTTTGGGATTAGTGGATACAAAGGGTATATATAGCATGGATAAACAACAAGATCCTACTGTATAGCACAGGGAACTATATTTAATATCCTGTGATAAACCATAATGGAAAAGAATATAAAAAAGAATGTCTATATATGTATAACCTAGTCACTTTGCTGTACAGTGGAGATTGGCACAACATTGTAAATCTATCTATCTATCTATCTATCTATAAAGAAAAGGTCATCAAAATCTGATGAGAAGGTACCAAATAACACACCCCTCCCCCAAACCAAACAAAGCCAAACAATCCTCCAGTAAAGTCCATTCTTGCTATGTGAGAAAACAGAATGATTCCCTGGAGCAGATGGATGGTCTTTGCTCACAGGAGGGGACTGGAGAAAGGAGTTCTCTCAGCAAGAATAAGGCATAAACTGAAGCAACTCCCTGAGTTAGAGGAGAATTTCCTTGTATGGCAGCAGCAATAAACTAGGGCAGGGTTCTTAGGTCTGAACTACTTTTCTTCCTCTGGTCTTCATGCAAGGGCACTACTACAGCCTCACCTGACCCTGTAGCCTTCACCTAAGCCCAGTCTGCCTCTCAGAGCCTCTTCAATATGCTTGTCATTTAGAGAACACATTTACAGGCCTACCTCAGAGATGTTGTGGGTTTGATTCCAGATCACTACAATAAAGCAAATCGCACAAATCTTTTGGTTTCCCAGTGCATGTAAAAGTTACATTTACAATACACTGTAGTCTAGTAAGTGTGCAATAGCATTATGTCTAAAAAAACTATATGTATATCTTAATTTAAAAATACTTTATTGCTAAAAAGATGCTAGCCATTATCTGACAACTCAGGGTTGCCACAAACCTTCAATTTGTGGGAAAAAAGCAGATCTGCAAAGCACAATAAAATGAAGTGCAATAAAATCAGGTAAGCTTGTATAGGAAATTATCTCTGACAACTTTCCATGTGACACGATCCTAATCTCAGCTTTGTCACTGTCTGTCCCTAGAGGAACTTAGGATCATCTCAAAGGTTTCCTGGTGATTCAAAAATAATTGAGAGTACTACCAGCTGCTTTAGGCCTAGGTCCACTACCCAGTCCTTTCCACCTAGACCCCTGATAATTATAACAATAACTAACAATTATTGAGTGGTTATTATGTGCCAAACACCATTCTCTGTGTTAATACATTATCTTATATATTTCTTGCAATAACCCTATGGAAGAGGTAATATTCCCATGTTACAGGTGAGGAGACTGAGCAGGAATTTACCTGAGATCACCATTAGTAAATGATGAGGCTGGGACTTCAGTAAAAATCTACCTGTCTCAAAAAAAAATTCCTGTCTCTAATCTCCTACTCTTAACAACTATTGCCTCACCACCCCAGTATATAGGAAATTTGTAAATTCAGTCTGAGTGTCCAGATCACCCCCTGTTTAAGTCCCCAGTAAAAGTCTTCTTAGGAATAAACACTGGGAGATATGAGATCACAGGGCCTGGTTTCCAACAAAACAGAGCAAGAGGGAATATATTCACTATAAGAGCCATAAAAACTGTGTTGTTTTTGCTTTTCATTATTTCTCCATGGCATAGTACACAGTACCTGGTACACAGAATGTGCTCAATAAATATTTACTGAATGAATGAATTAGCTTGCTCCCTGATCATCTCAGAGCCTTGCTGACTTTAAGGACATTGAGGTGATGACCTCTAAATTCTGTACATTAAGACATGAGGCAGGGAAAACCTGGGTCCAGTCCCATCAGCATAAATCTCTCTATGTAATCAAAATATCACCTGGCCCTAGAAAATCTGAGTCCACTGACTTTAATTGCTATTTGCTGCCTCAAAGTTTTCTCACCCCCAAAGAAGGGACATAGTCTCTAGAGTTCTTTGTAATAGTATCTGATTTCTGACATAGCGAGAAACAGACATCGGTTTAAAATCCTTGTATTTCTTTGATTGTTCCTTGTGAAGCATGACCTTGAGAAAGTCATTCTCTCTCTCTGGGCCGTAATGCCCTCATCTGTGCCATGAGGCAATGGGGCTTTCTACTTGCTGAGGGTCTTTTGATCTTGGACATGCTAGTATTTCCTGGTGAAAGTCAAAGTCAGCACTGTCTACTCATTCCCTAGCCAGACAGCATCTGCAACCCCAGTCTCCACACTGTTTTTAATGTTATTAGCAGTGTATTCCAGGGGAAGAGAATGCAGGACACCTGCTCTTGCTTGATGGCTCTTCTCTACTTTAAATCCAAGGAAAATAGTCAGTGGGAGGAATGGGGGAATGAATGGTAAATGGGGAGCTCTGTGGCAGGCAAGGTCCCTGGCATGTCTCTTCACCTTAGGCAAAGAGGCCCGGGAGCCAGAGCTCTGAGTTGTCATGGTGAGCACAGTGGTGATGCCTAGGCCCACTCGGGCAGGGGCAGCATCCATGTTGATCCAGAAGGAGACCCAGGACAGGATGACGATGAGTAGGCTGGGGATATACATCTGAATCAGATAGTAGCCCATCTGTCGTTCCAGGTGAAACTTTACCTCGATGCAGGTGAATTTCCCTGCAAGGAAAGAGGTGAGGTGTCAGGCCGCAGGTCCCCAGCCAGCAGCTGAAACTGAGAGGCAGGAGTTGGGCAGCCCTATCTCTGTGGGCCAGCCTCTGGGCACCTAAGCTGGGTCAATAATTGAGCCTTTCAAAATGGTCCCAGGGAGTACCAGATGTATGTTTTGATGAAGCTCTTGGAGTAGCCAACAGGGAACTTACCTCTTGCTCCAAGCACTTTAGTTGCCAGCAGAAGGCCTTCCCATGACAGTACTGAAAGAGGATTAAGAGTGGGAGGGCTCCAAAACCAGGCTGGATGGATTTGACTCCTGAGCTTCCGTCCACTAACTGTGTGACCTCAGGTGAAACACTGAAGCTTTTAAAGCTTCAGTTTCGTTGTCTATAAACTAGAATACCAACAATATCCATTCCATCACTGGGCAATTGTAGGAATTAAGTTAGATGACATATTTAAGGTGTTGAACACTTAGGCAGCTGGTACTGTTCTTATGATTAACAAAGCGATGAGCCTAGACTCCACTCCAATCTCAGCATCCTTGCTGGTGTTTGCTGGGACCCCTGAAGCTCTCCAGCAATGATTCACTAAGATAAACACTGCCTATGTCTTAAGCAAGTAAGAAGAGCTGGGTAGCAAATATCTGGAGACAATGTCCAACAGAGACCAGCTCTGGATGGTGGGCAGTGAGTTCCCAGACAGCATTGGGCAGCAGTGTTCTATTCCACCAACAAAAAGTGTGTTAGCCCTGGGCACATGTACCAATACTCTCCTCTTCTGCCAGTCACCTTCACTTTACCCTGTTTCCCACGCCCCAAGGCTAAGAAAACACTAGCTCAGAGCTTCCCCTGGTAGTAGATGCTTAGGATAACCAAGGCAAAAAGCAGGGAATGTGTATATTTTTCTTTTATTGTGGCCCAGTCTTGCTCTTAGCAGGCCTGTCTGATTCCTCAAGGTTAGTGATTTCATCAATGACTGACTAAGACTTTGTCATGTGTGTGATGCTGTGATCTCCCACTGTTGCCTGAGTCTATCTCACTTCATCCCACTCCAGGCTTCTAGCCATGAAGAGTTTTTGGTATTCATATTTTCTTTCCAATGATAGCGGTTTTGTTTTCCGTGACATAAGTAACACTTGTTTAGCATAGAAAAAATATGAAAGGTAGAGAGGGAATAATAATATTCATAAACTGACATTTATCAAGTCCCTACTAAGTGCCCTGACTTTATATAGTTTATCTCATTTAAACCCCATAGCAACTCTTTGGGGCAGGTAAAATTATTATTTCCCATTTTACAGGTAGGGATACTGAAGTTCAAAGAGATTAAGTTATGTTTCTTGAGGGTTCCCAACTAGTAAATAGTGTGGCCAGAATTCAAACTCAGCTCTATCTGATTCCAGAGTTCTTGCTCTTATCACACTGCTTCAGAAATACTTGGTGCTATTTCCTTCCAGGATTTTTTTTCCCTTCCAGGATTTTTAAACAAATGCTTTTGGTTTGTTTCTTTCACCACAATAGAATCATTCTGTGTATACAACTTTGAATCTTAACCTTTTCCACTTGCATTTTCCAATGTTGATATAAGCGCCTTGCAAGCATCCTTTTAAACCTCTGGATAATATCCCAGCAAGCAGATATGCTATGTAATTTATTTAACTTTTGCCCTATCAGTAGATATTAAGAGCAGTTCTGAGTTTTTGCTAGTATAAACAGTGACCCAGGAGCCCTCTTGGGGTCTAAAGTCAATGTGATTTTTTGGAATATCTCCTTGAAATAAATTGCAAGGAGTGGAATTCCTGGATCAACAGGTAGGGAAAAAATTTAGATTCCAGACTAAAGTTTCTCAGTATGCACCCTGGACCACCTGCATCAGAATCCTCAGGATTTGTGTTCTAATGCAGATTTCTGGGCATCACTCAAAGCACATGTAATCAGAATCTCTTAGAGGTAGAACCCCGGAATCAATATTTTAACAGGCTCCCCAGGGAAATACGATGCACACCAAAGTTTGAAAACTATCAATCTATATACAAATTGCCAGTTTTTTTTTCCTGAAAAAGTTTACACCAATTTCCACTCCCACCAGCATTTTCTAAGTTCAATGACTCATTCCTCTCCCCAACTACTTGCACCCCCACATACACAAACACATATTCATAGGCTTGCACCCAAAGCATATTAGCACACCACTGGAGGAACCCAGGATCTCCCTTCTTCAGGTTGTGGCCCCTATCTCAGCATCATAGCTCTTCACAACAGCCAAATGGTCAGTGGAAATGAGGAACCTGCAGCGATTAGGGAAGCTGCAAAAGGAAGGTGCTCAAGCTGGAAAAGCAGCCACTCTTCATTTCCCGACCCAGTTTTCACACCTGGGAAACCAAGTCAATTCATGAGACTTGGGCACTGGAGACAGTGGCAGTGGGTGTGGACAGTAAGCCAGCTGGTGCCCTGAATTCTGTTCTCTCCTGGTTCAATGTAGTCATTTAATACTCCCAGATGTGGAAACTCCTCACTTTCCACATGAAGTTGGCCCCAGGACAGGTGGAACACTCCTGTCACTCACTGACACAGGCTCATTTGTTCTGCAGCATGTGATAGGGACAAGAATATGGGCTTTGGTGGTGGAACATGGGCTTTGAATTTGAAATCAGTCATTTACTAACTGTGGAACTTGGATAACTGATTCAATTTCTTAGAACCTCAGTCTTTTCTTTCTGAGAAATGGGACTGATCACCACTACCATAATGAGATAAGACATATGAGAAACTTCACAAGCCATTGGGCACAGATTGGACCTTCAATAGAGGCCAGCTGCTTTGCCCCTTTCCCTCCCATCTGGAGGCCCTTCATGCAGCCCACAGCCAGTAAGATCCTAGGTTTTTACCTGTGTTGTAGTGCTTGGTACAATAGCCTAGATCCTTCTCATCCCGCAAGATAAACTGAGGCAGAGTCAACCCCTCGGCCACTTGGACAGCAGGAGCATCTTCCAGCCACTCAAACATGAGGTCATTCATGGTGTAGCCAACTGAAAGTGAAAGAGATGGCAGAGGGCTGCAGAGTGTGGGTGTTGGTTGGGGGTAGGGAGAGGGTTAGAACTGGCAGGAAAGAACAGATGAGGAATAAGGCCTGGGTTTTAGGAGGTTTATCATGCTCATCTGGGAAAGAAAAACCATTCTGAAGAGGGTGCTTGATCAATTGCTTCATGTGCCCAGCCTAAGTGGGTAAATCAGAAAGATTTCAGATTCCTCTCCTACCTAGTTCTCAAGCATTAGAAAGTCCCAAAGAGAAATTATTCTGGCAGACCTAGAAAGCACATCAAAAGGCTTGAAAAGATGTCAAGGAACCCAGCTGGGAACCTCCCGCCCCATCTCAAACCCAGGGGAGTAAGCATGTGTACTGACCACATACCTTGAGCTGAGCCAGCCTTGGAGCTGGGGCTTCTGCCACCTCACTCCAGAGAGAAGAGAGCTATTTATACCCTGCCAGCCATGCATGGGCCAGTGTGCATACCACAGACTCCTAGCCAGGGCCCTGAATTGGGGCAAACTGAGAGCTAACATCAAAAGTGCCAAGTTGCTCATGGAGAGCTAGAATTTCATGAAGTCTCTTGCCACATAGATGACTATAGTCACACGTTGGGTAGAAATGGGAGCAGAAACACCAAGGCTCACAGATGTTCAGTGTAGGGCCTTGGCCCAGAGTAGCTTTGTGACTTTAGGCAAGTCACTTCCCCTTCTCTAAAATGTTCCACTTACATTTCAGAGGAGGTAATGAGGACTTGGACGTGAAGGTGGTTTATGAACTCTAAAAAGCGGACCACATAGGACAAATTCTATCCATCACTATTGTTATATGTTAGAAACAGATTGATAAGACTTTTCTGAGGATCAAATGCATAACTCCTGATCTCACAGTCTCACTTGCCCAGGAAATGGCAAAGAAATGGACATGGGCGATGTCCAGCCTTGTCATCCTTTAGCTTCTCTGCACTTGGGACAGCCCCTGCAGGCTGTTACCCCATGCCCTTGGTAGCCTTTGGCTGACCTTGGTACCCTTGGCACTGTCCTATGCCTAGAACTGTCCTCTCTCACCTCTCTATGAAAGTAATCTGTACACACTGCTATATGTAAAATAGATAAACAACAAGGGCCTACTGGATAGCACAGGGAAATATATTCAATATCTTTTAATAACCTATCATGGAAAAGAATCTGGAAAATAATACATATATAACGGAATCACTTTGCTGTACACCTGAAATTAACAAAATATTGTAAATCAACTATGTGCTGTGCTGTGCTTAGTTGCTCAGTTGTGTCTGACTCTCTGCAACCCCATGGACTGTAGCCCACCAGGCTCCTCTGTCCATTCTCCAGGCAAGTATACTGGAGTGGGTTGCCATGTCCTCTGCCAGGGGATCTTCCCAACCCAGGGATCAAACTCAGGTCTCCTGCATTGTAGGTGGATTCTTTATTGTCTGAGCCACCAGGGAAGCCCAAGAATACGGGGCTAGCCTATCCCTTTTCCAGGGGATCTTCCCAACCTAGGAATTGAATCGGGGTCTCCTGCATTGCAGGTGGACCCTTGACCAGCTGAGCTACCAGGGAAGTCCAAATCAACTATACTTCAATAAAAAAATTGCTTATGTTCACAAAGAATCAGGGTTCAAAGACTGCCCATCCCTGCCAACTCTGGATTTGCATAGGCATCTTGAATATGTTAACTCAAAGGAAGTAAAGATAGAATTACTGCAGGCACTGTGAGAAGGAACGTATCTCTGGACACAGGAGGTACTCCTCAAATGGCCCTCCACATCCAGCCCAAGCACACTGGTATATAAGGTTGGTACCTTATTTCCTGCAAATAGTGAGGGAATGGAAAAGCACATTAGACTGGGTGTTCAGGAGCTCTGGCTTCTAGTCTTACCTGGGCCAAGAGCTGACTATGTATGCTTGGGGAAGTCTGTCACCACTCTGGGCTGCCCTTCTCCTGTCTGGAATATCACAGCATGGGGTTGCCTAGTTTGTATCTCAGGTATCTCTCTATGACTTTCTAGGGACACTTACAGCTCTCCAGCTGCATCGTGCAGGTCTGAATGTCCATGGGGAAGTTCTTGAGGTCCATCGGGCAGGACAAAATGAGAGTCAGCCTGGCAGGGACAGGAAGAAAGAAGCCAGGCTGGCTGAGTGGGGCTCAGCACAGCACAGGGACCTTCCCCCCAGCCCTCATCCTCTGCCCCTTGCCCCGAGTTCTCCTGGTCATCTACCAGCTGCACCTGATGCTGTAGAGCACGTTTCCATTCTTGAAGATGCGCAGCAACTTGTTGTCTGTGGTCACCTCGTGGAAATTGGCCCCTTTCTCATTGGCAAAGAACAGGTCTGGCTTCCAGATCAAGTCCAGCATGGAGGGATCGAGGTCCAGCGAGTCATCAGGATATTCTCGGTAGGCCAGGCGTGGGTCGTTCCACTGTTGTCGCAAGAAGACATTCAGCCGGTAGTCCTGGGAGAGGGCAGAGATGGGCCCATCAGAGGCAGTGTTATTGTAGGGACTAAACCTACCTGGACAGTAAGGCTATGAGGAGGAAAATGCTGGGAACACATCTCAGGGGCAGTGGGCATTTTCCACTGGAGAAGGAGCCTGCCTTGGGCTGATATGGCAAAGATGGGAAGGGAAAAGGCATTTATTAAGCTCTTACTATGTGCCTGAGTCTTTGCTAAGTGCTTTCTTCATATGCATCATCTTATTTAAATCTCACCTCAACCCTGAGAGGAGAGTGCTGTTATGATTCCCATTTTACAGAAGAGGAAACTGAGACAAAGAGAGGTTTAAGTAAAACTGCCTGAAGTCATACAACTATTAGATGGTAGAGTCTGAGATTGAATGCAGGCTTTTCTGATTAAAAGCCTGTGCTAGTCATCAAGCTATCTTCCAAACTCGACCATCTGCTGCTTAGGCTAGTCTGCCTTTAGCCACAAAAACCCTGGGCTGGGGAAAGATAAACTCCTAGTGACCACCTTTGGACATCCCATGGCTTTAACCATGATCCTGAAACAGGGAGAGGATGGCGGAGGAAAGACTGGCTTGCTATCTGGTGGGCTTTTCCCATTCACACTAGAGAGGAAGTGGGGGGCATGGAGATGCTTTACCATGGTAGTCTCGGTGATGGAGCCAAAACTGTTGATGAAGATATTGCAGGTCACATTCACAGGTGGGCCTAAGGGTAGCAAAACACATCCATATTGGTAGAGCATTCCAGGAATCTGGGAGAAGATTCCAAGACTGCCTGTCTGAGCTGGAGGCCAGGGCCCTGCTGGGAGAAGGCAGTGCCTGGCACATAGACCCAGGGTGATGGGGTGGGGATGTTCCTTCTGAGCTGTGAGTGCTAGACCTGTTCCCCAGCCTCCTGGCTCTAAGGTAGGCAATGGGGGTGGCTCAGTGTCCCCAAAGTGAGTGGGGAGGGGGAGGGTTTGTAGGATGAATACTTCTTACCTTTAAAATTAGGCCGAATCCTGGCATCATATCCAGATGTTCGCCCCATAAGCTTGTCCAGGAAATCAGAGGGGGACATGGGCTGGGACCCCTTGGTCCCAGGTTTGACTTCCTCTTTTGCCAAGGCCACCCTGGACAGGAGAGAAAGTTAATCACTGAGATCAGTTGTGTGTGCATGCGCGCTAAGTTGCTTCCATCCTGTCCAACTCTTTGTGACCCCATGGACTCTAGTCTAGGGCTTCTCTGGTGGCTAAGCAGTAAAAGAATCCACTTGCAATGCAGAAGATGTGGGTTTGATCCCTGGGTTGGGAAGATCCCCTGGAGGAGGGCATGGCAATCCATTCTAGTATTCTTGTCAGGAAAATCCCGTTAACAGAGGAGACTGGTGGGCTATGGTCCATGGGGTTGCAAAGAGTTGGACATGACTGAGCACACACAGACTGTAGTCTGCCAGGCTCCTCTGTCCACAGGATTCTCCAGGCAAGAAAACTGGAGTGAGTTGCCCTGCCCTCCTCCAGGGGATCTTCCTGACCCAGGGATTGAACCCACATCTCTTATGTCTCCTGCATTGGCAGGCAGGTTATTTACCACCAGCACCACCTAAGAAGCTGGAGATCAGTTATATTCTACATTTATTACAGATCCTTCACTTTCCTGTTCCCACCCTGCTTTGGCTGGTCTCCATATCAGTGAGGAGATTAGGAGATGGGTTTCTGCATGTCCACTTGCAAATGAGAAGAACAGAAACAGCCATAAGCCAACACAACAGCTCACTCACTAGTCAGTCCTAGACAATTGCTTTCACATATATTAGATCTTTTTGCTCTCACAATGCTCATGTGATGGGGGCAAAAACTGTTACTTCCATTTTAAAAGTGAGAAAACTTCCAAAGAAGGGGTGATCTGTGGGACTGTAAATCAGTGCAGCCACTGTGAAAAACAGTATGGAGCTTCCTCAAAATATTAAAAGTAGAACTATCATATGATCCAGCAATTCTACCCTTGGGTATTTATCCCTAAGGAAACAAAATTACTGTGTTAAAGAGATATTTGCACCTCTCCCATGTTCATAGCAGCATTCTTTGCAATATCTAAGACATGGAAAGCACCCAAGTGTCCATCAACAGATGAATGAATAAAGAAAATGTGATATATACATACACACACATAGTGGAATATTACTCAGTCATAAAAAAGAAGGAAAATTCTGCCATTTGCAGCAACATGGACAGACTTGGAAAGCATTATGCTAAGTCAAATAAGTCAGATGGAGACAAATGCTGTATGATCTCAGATATAAACATGGAATCTAATACATAAATAATAGATAGAAGGATAGATGGATAGATCAATCAACTAAATAACCAAGAGAAGAATGACTTGCCCAAAGTCTCACAGCTGAGGCCTTATCCAGTGTTCTCTTTCTGACAGTGTCTTGAACACATTCAAACATGAATGACAGAATTAATGTGGTTGTGGCAACACTTTGTACATCTGGCCTAGCCAAGGATGGAAAGGGCTCAAGGGCAACTGACATCCCTAAGAGTTGGTTTCAGTTGTTTGGCCTTCATGCTGATCTCTCAGGGGCTAGGACTCAGCTTCTGGAGAGGGCAGTTTGGCTTCTGCTCCAGCAAGAAGCTACATTCTGAGCTGGACCTCGGTTCAGTCAGCTGCAGGCAGATGAACTTGCCTTTGCAATAACATAGGCAGGAAAAAGCAGGGCTCTAGGAGCAAGGGAAAGACTCCCAGTAAAGAAGCCATGCTGCAAAGGTCAACTCCCATCTTATCTCCCTAAAAGCTTCATTTCAAGGAATGGGCCAGTGTGGTTTGGCCTAGCCTAGAGGCCAGCCCTCTTCTCCCCCGACAGGTTTTCCTCTAAGGGGAACAAAGTTTCTCCCATACACCTGCTTGTCTGCTTACCAGCCAATAGCTAGACCAGGGACCAGGAATTCAGCAAGGGCTTGAGGGCAGGGGTGGAGCTGAAGCTAGACTCCTGGCTGGGCCCTGTGCCTGCTGCTCCATCCTGCCGTCATCACTAGAGCCAGCTCCCCTGTGCCTGGATGTGAGGTGACTGCTCTCCTGGGTCTGAGTCTCCTTTGAGCCAGTGTGCTCCTCTTTCCCAGTAAATCTATGTACCTGCCAGTGATTGATACAGTAATAAAGCTGAGGCAACATGCTAAACACTTTATCAGAATTCTCACATCAGTCCTCTCAATAAGTACCATTATTATCCTCCTTTTATAGGTGAGGAGTGCAAGAAGGAGCAATTTGTTCATGATCATACAGTTTCTAAATGGTAAAGCCAAGATTCCCACCCAGAGCTCTTGACTTCAAAACTAAGCCTATCCACAGAGGTAAAGAACAGACTTTTGGACTCAGTGGGAGAAGAAGATGGTGGGATGATTTGAGGGAATAGTATTGAAACATATATATTACCATATGTAAAATAACCAGTGGGAGTTTGATACATGACACGGAACCCAAAGCTGGTGTTCTGTGACAACCTGAAGGTGTGGGGTGGGGAGGGAGGTGAGAGGGTGTTTAGGAGGGAGGGGACACATGTATACCTATGGTTGATTCATGTTGATGTATGGCAAAAACTATCACAATATTGTAAAGTAATTATCCTCCAGTTAAAATAAATTAATTGATTAAAAAAAAAACCTAAGTCTATCTACTACAGTATTGAGATATGAGTAGCCCCAGGCAGGCTGCCGAGGAACCAGAGTTGGGGAAGGTCAGTGGCAGCCTCACTCTGACCCCTAGAGTCCTGCCTTCTCGGATCCCAAGAGTAAGAGGGAGCTCTTACCCTGGGAATAGAGGCCACCTTGGCCCTGAGCAGGGGTTGCCAGAGCAGGTGGCTTAAGCATGCTCTGAAAATCCAAGGAGGCGCTGGTGCAAGCAGAAGTCGTCCATGGCTTCACCATGGGATGTCCACACTGGCCAGGTGCTGCTGCTGGCCACCTGCTGTCTGCCCCCGCCCCCAGGGAGGCCATGTGGACCTGAGTGTGGAGCAGCCAGACCCTTGCCACCATCCTCAGATCCACTCTCATGTCATCTCCCCCACTGGCCCCAGCCCCAGGACCTTGGGACTGGCTGTGAACTCAGCTGTCCTGGGCCCCAACCCCCGTGGCAGCCCATCCTTTTCAATGTTACCTCATTTGTGGACCTGAGAGCAGAGTCACAGTGTGTAGACTCTCCTTTCTCCCATTCACTCCTGGAAAGTTCTAAACACCAGCAGGACTCAGGAGGTTCCAGAGCTGGAAATCTTTCTCATGGAAGGCCCTTGGATGGGGTAGAGGGGAGAACTCCAATTCTGTTATTGGGTGCCCGAGTGACCTTGGTCAGGTCACCTGCCCTCTCTAGGCCTCAGTTTCCATAAGTTCAATGAAGGACTTGGACTCAAGGCTTCCTAAGGGCTCACTTTGCTCTAATCACCAAGAGGGCTTTGCTGCCACCAAAGCCTGGGCAGTGGTGTAATTTCACCTGCACCAGGGCCAGCAAATGCCAGTTGGGTGCCCTCTTCTGCCTGCATCCTCATATCAGCTCCAGTTGAGCTGCCATTGCCATTCTACTTTGGGCTCCTTTTCACTCTGAAGAAGTTTATTTGCTCCCTGCCAATGCCACTGCATCCCTGCCTGCCTGCCCACTCATGTGTCTGCCAGCACATGAGAAGGAGGCTCCTTAGGGGCAAGCAACCCTGGGGTGCTCCCTGAATGAAGAGGAGGATGATATTGCGGTGGCACTCACCCACCTCCACCTTGGGAGGCACTCTTCTGACCAGTTCAGCCCAGGGCACAGCCATCTTTCCTCCAGCATCCCCTGTCCACCTAGCTTCCCCTGTCCACCTAGACTTCCCCCAAGTCCCCAAAGCCCAGGAAATAATGGCCACATAGTACCACTCCAGGGAGCAGCCAGGTGTCCCTTGGGCAGGGTAGGGAGAGTGCAGAGGGCCCAGCTTTGATCAGCCTGGCTTTATCCTAATGTGGTTTGGGGAAAATCCTGGCTCATTGTAACCTTTTGGGTGAGCAGCTGGCAGAGGTTGGTGTTATTTTTAAGGATCTGAGGAGCATGTGGTCAAGTTGGGAGGGATATAGGGTTGGAGGGCAGGACAGATGGCTTCTGTTCAGGGGCTCACTCCCTAGCCCCTACCCTGACCCAGGAAGCTCTTACCCATGCGGAAGTCTTCCCATCACCTCTGGGGCTTTGACATCCTTCACGAAAGTCTCCTGGGATCTCAGTGGAGATGGGTGAGTCCGCTTCTGGAGCCATCCTATCCATGGGCTTTTGGCAAACTTCAAGGAAACTCTGCCAGAGCCCCAGTTGCCCCCCTCCCCAGCCCGTGTTTGCATGCATCTCCTTCTTACCCCGACTCAGCTCACCTGAGGAGGACCTGCCCTGGCAGGGTCCAGAGGAGAAGGAAAGAGAGGGTTTCTGGATTGAGAGTTGTCATCCTGTGGGGACCCTGGAGTCCTTTTCTCAGCCTGGCTGCCAAGGTGAGAGGGGATACCCTGGGCAAGAACGCCGAAAGTACAGATCCTTCTTCCTGCTCAGGCAGCTCTCGAAGGGAACCTGAGGGGGGCCGGGCTAGGAGTGGAGTGCTCTCTCCCCTCTTCTCTCTTCTTTGCCCCGTCCCTTTCAGTCAGGGGGCCAGAACTATTCCCCTGGAAGTGATCCTGACACAGATAACCCCACCAGCTCCTGCTCGAGCTCGCCTGGGTCTCCGGAGGGCCTCTGCCTGCCGGGGTGCTGAAGGAGATTCTTTTTGGGAAGCAATCACTCTCTAAACCCCGAGAGTCTTGGAGGAGAGGGGGGAGGGAGACTGTATGAAGATGTTTCCCTCCCTCCCACCTCCCCCTGTGATGCACCCTCCAGAAAGCAGCAATTTAAAGGCACAGTCGCCGGCAGCTGGAGTCAGGTTCGGAGTGAGTCCTTGTGTGTTGTGTGCCGGGGAGGAGCTTGGGCTGTCGCTGCAGCCTGGAGAGGGGCCGGAGGTGCTCTGTCGAGCTTCTAACTGGCTGGAGGAGTGCCTGCAAGCTGCCTTGCTTCCCCCACCTCCCCAGCAGTTTCCCTTTTAACCTGGAGCCAAGCGGGGGACAAACTCTAAAGTCTTAATGATTTTGTAAGGGGGAGAAACGACCTGAGAGGATTTAGGCAGAGCCACTGGGTATTCTCCAGGTGACAGTTTCAGGGCTGAGAGGAGGGAAGAAGGAGGAGGGGGAGGACAGGGGCAGCTTTTCCTCAACTGTCTGGATATAAGACAGGGGGATGAATGATGCACAGGAATTTGGGAGTCTTCTTCCTATATCTGCCTGCCTATCAGTCAGTCTGTCTGTTTGCCTACTTGCTCCATCTCCTTCATCCTTATAGTTGCACATCCTCTTTCCTGCCTACTTACCTCCCTCAGGTCATCTCTGCTGAGCTTGGGGGCTCTCTGTAGCTCTCTGGAACCCCCCTTTCCCCAGACTGGCTAGGCTGTGAGGAGGAATAGGGCAGAAGCTGGGGCAGGGCAAGCCTGGCATAGAGCAGGCTTTGTAAGCTTTGGAAGAGTTCAAAGGAACCAAGAGCAATGACCTGACAACCTCAAAGCTTAGGATAGAGGAGAGAGCTGGGGAGGGTGGACCACCCACCCCTCCTTGCTTCTCATTTGCTTACAGAGTACAGCTGCTTGAACAACTCTTTTCCTGTCAACCCTTCCCCAAACTTGCTCAGCACCACCTCAACGGCTCTGGTCTAGGACTTCTCTGAGTGCCTCACCCACTATCCCTTCCTCTCTCACTTTTCTCTACTTTCTTCCTCCCTCTCTTTCTGAAGCTTTCCTTCATCTATACTCTCTCCATCTACCTCACTGTTTCTTTTCTGTGTCTCACCTTCTAGGTCTGTCTCCCCCCTTCTTTCACCCTCGTTTTCTCTCCATCCCCGTTTGTTTTCTATCTCAGCTTCCCATTATCTCCATTTTCTCACTCTCTCCTTTTAAGCTGTGGCCATGAGAAGCCAAATGTTTTCATGTTTTCTTCAGTGGAAATTCTCACAACAGCTCTGCTGAGTTCTTGAGGGTGTGCTGGGTGGGGGGGCGAGGTGGGTGCCACTTTCTTAGGATCAATACCTGAGCCCCACCAGAGAGGGATGTGTGGAGACTGCGAGCTCTTCTACAGGATCCATCAGCTACTTAGAGGGATTAAAGACAAGGCCACAATGAGTAGAACTTGTGCTGCATCTCCTTTGTGGCTGTGTTATTATTAAAGAAGAGGAATTTTTAAACCACCAATGAAAAGGAAAGAAGAGGATTGTAAAGATTACACACTGAAATGTTGATGGGGGAGCTGGGCTTTTGGAATTGGGACTGGAAACATTATAAGCCTCCAATCATGCCTATATGGCCAGTAAATACAAAATACAAAGTATTAATTTTCCTAAAAACATCTTTAGTGGCTCTTTCACCTGCTTACCCTCCCGCCTTGATTTCTCTAAGCATCACAACCCCCAGTCCTTGGCTGGGAACCAAGCCTTACAGCACCTCTCAGGGCCGAGCTCCATGCTAGGATGCTAAGGGGGAATGGGAAGCAGAGGCACTTGATTTTTTGTTTAACTCACTCCCTCTGACAAGCCTGATCGTGTCATTTCCCCTGCCTCAACTGTTCCCTATGGCTCTCAAGCTGAAGTTGAGGGAGTGGCATGACCTGGTCCCTCTGCTTCTCTGCCAATGCTGCACCAAGAGTCCCCTGTCTCTCCAGCATTCAGGTTGTTTCACAAATTGTTCGTCTGCCAGAGCCCTCTTCCCTCCACTCTTATTCTTCTGGACTAAGTTTTGCTGTCACCCTCTCAAGGAAGACTTCGTGGACTGCTCCTGTCACCCCCTGGGTCTGGGTTAGGAGACCCTCCAATGTGTTCCCACAGGACCCTTGCCTTCCCATTCACGGCATCCATCACACTCAGTTACAGCCACCCGCTTACTTGACTCTTTCCCCACTCTACACCCCATGAGCTTCCTGAGGGCAGAGCCACGTGATCCATCCAGTCCCCAGGGCCCAGTCCAGAGCAAGGGACATCCCAGGCCACTAGAGAACCTTTGTGAAGAGGCATCCCAAAGCACTCAGAGACACTTCCCCAAGCTGATGCCTCTGTCTCTTTCTCTGTCAAATGAGAATGATAATCCTGACACACAGAAAGAAGGCTGGCATGAGGTAATAGTAATAAAGGGAAATGATAAAGCAGTTTTCCTTCTACTGCCCCTTAGTCCTGTGGCCTCACTCTCAGTCATCTGGGATTCTTGGCTAATGGAAGGCACAGGCCCCTGGGGACTGGTCCACTGGTCCATTGTCTTGGTTCTCGGCCCCTGTGTGTCCCGTGGGATCCCTGAGTGCCAAGAACACAGAGAGGTCAGCTTCTGGGGAGGAAAGATTCTTTCTCATGAGAGCTTACAGCCATGACCAAAGGTCTAGCTGGCATGTTGAAGGGATACAGCTTTCCGAGGGTGCTGAAAGCTGACTTTCTGGGAGAAGAAGGGAGGCCAGGGAGGCAAAGAACTGGATAAGCTACTCCCAGAAGGTGACAAGAAGCAGGGGAGATGCCCATCCAAGAGTGTGTGTATGTGTGCTGTTGTGTCCGACTCTTTGCAACCTCATGGTCTATAGCCCGCCAGGCTCCTCTGTCCATGGGATTCTCCAGGCAAGAATCTAGGGGATCTTCCCAACCCGGGGATCAAACTCACACCTCTTGTGTCTCTTGCATCGGCACGTGGATTCTTTACCACTGTGCACCCTGGAAAGCCTGCCCATCCAAGAGTTCCCTCTACTAATAGGAAGCCACACTTTCTGAAGATGGCCTCAGCATTTTCTAATGTGGGAGGGGCACAAAGTTGTGTCCAGCCTTGCCCCCTAAACTTCCTCTTTTGTTATTATCAAACTATGGTGTACATGAATCTGCATGTTCCAGAATGTATTGCCCTCTTTTCCTGTTTTGCATCTGGCAGCCCCACTGGCCATGAGAACTGGCTGGATTGTAGCCTGGAGATGGGGTAGAAGCTACAATAGACAAATGTTTTCCAGAATGAAAGATACTTATTTCATCCTGAAAAACTACTGAGCTGCTAAAAATGAATTAAGCACATGCTTTTAATAAATGTTTCATTCTGGGAAAGAGTCTGTCACATTTAAGCCTGATGCAAGGAAATTTATAATTGTGCCCTCTTGACAAGCATGCTTCTGAAATCTCAGTCTGAGGAACTGCATGTCTGTGTGGGGATGGGTATCATTTGATGAATTCAATGACTTCTAGGGCTTAATTTGGGGGGCAGAGTTGGAGAGTCATTTGGCATCCCTTCCTGGACCCAACTTGCCCATACCACCACCTATCCCACTTACTGAAGTAGAAAGTGGCCTGTGGGGTACTTCAAAAGTTAGACCGTGCCCCCAGTCTGAGGAAACTCTCAAAGCATTAGCTAATTTTAAGAAGTATTAGGGTAAGAAGTTGGGGGCATATGTGAAATAAAAGTCAGACGTCTTTTTAAAAATCTGCTGACGAGGACCGGGGCATTTTGGTTGGTTCTCCAAGAAGCAAGGTTGCATCTTATTGCTGTGTATGAGTTTTTCTTTTCAGGGTCATTTTCTACATCAAAGGATGTAACAGAGTTGGAGAGTCATTTGACACCCCTTGCTGGATGCAACTTGCCCATCCCACCACCTATCCCACTTACTGAAGTGGCCTTTACTCAAAAGTAGGGCCTCAACTTTGGGTGCTGAGGGAGCGCTGCCAGCCGAGGCAGGAAACCTTCACACTCTTCAGACTCAAGGAGATAGGCATAGTGTGTGTGAGTAATGGTGATGGGAGTTTCGCAGGCCTCAATTCAGCTGGAGGAAGGAAGAAGAAAGAACAAAAGAACAGATGTATTAGATGTGTTCAGTGCTCTTCTCCTAAGACTTTGGAGAATGATTGGTTTAAGTCCAGTATTTACAAGATTAGCTTTCCTTATTTTATATTTCTGGCACAGGCTTTGCAGACAAAGCCTGGTGTATCTGAACTTGGGGGAACCTGTGGAGGGAATGACTGAGCTCCTCTCAGTCCTCAGAGAGAAGAGGAATCAGCACCAGGTTAGCATAGTGAACAATGGCCCTACCTCTGTCAGTAGCTCTGTCCAGTGTCTAAGGAACAACAGAGAAATGGGGCTCCAGGCAGGGACAGTGTATTGACTAGCATCCTGATAGGCACCATTTTCCCCAGCTGGACTCTCAGCATCATTACTCATACCACTGGCCACTTGAGAACAATTCACTAGGTGTGCAGGAGAGTTGCATTAAGGTTTTCCCAGAGCTTGCCATTGACTCTCTTTGTCTCTTGGCTCTTGAACGTTCTTTTTCAAGGATAATAGGACCATGTCACACCTCTTTTCAAAAGTAATTGGTTATTTGCTGGTGATCGTGTTCATAAAAATCTTATTTCACTCATTTGGGGATT